TGTGTGTGTGTGTGTGTGTGTGTGTGTGTGTGTGTGTGTGTGTGTGTGTGTTGTGTGCGTATCTGTCTCGCCTTATCTTTGCCTCTTTCTCAAGTCATGGTAATGAGTCTGTGCGTTTGTTTAAAAATGCATGCGTTTTTATGCAAGTACAACCAGTCTGAATCATGTCCGTGCTTTTATGGAAAGATGAACACTTGCAACAGCACATTACACGAATATCTTACATTTACATTGTACAAAACATATTATGTATTCATCCCCTGTCTTTTTTCTCTACTTCAACACCCACAACCCCATCCGACACCATTCTAACTCATTCAAACTCATTCAACCCCCACCTCCACCCCCACCCCCACCTCACATTTTCCCGTAATTATCATTGTCTTATGTCTTCTTTTTACAGAGTTGTAGTGCAACACGTCTGGCCGACGACAGGAAAATAAAACAAGATCAAGCTAAAGACAAAGAATGTGCATATTCTAAACAGGACTGTCTTGACATTTCGAGGATCTGGGTACACAAAGACGTGTGCTCGAGGGAACTGCTGTCACGCAAACGAGTGTTAAGTATTTGCAAAAGGAGATATCGTAATAATAATAATACAAGTTTGAGAGAAGTGATTTCATTCTGCACAAAGTGCACTCCGGGTTGAAAACGTTTTACCTGAAGAATCACCTAATCTGTTGGCTGGACGAAGGACTATCGTTCAACAGTGGGTTGGATGGACGCACTATCGTGTAGGAAGAGGGAAGAGGTAGTTAAAATCTGAAGGAGATGCAGCAAGTTCCGTGAAATCCCCGACTTCGTTGATATGATATGTAACAAAACATATATGTTCTTGCTGCCATACGTTTTTGTTTCTTTGTTTGTTTGTTTATTTCTGAAAACTGCCATAATCGAGTAATGTCCTTGTGGTGAAACTTCTGAGTGTCATCACCACTGCTGCAAAGCTCCTCTTTACTTCCTGGACGTGACGTCACCTCTTTCATGTATACTACTAATGCGTGTATTTTCTGTACTTTTTCGATATGACGTCATCATTGTCACCGCTGGACGTCATGCGAGTTGCTTTGCATGTGACATCGGCAGAGACATTTCATTGGTTGGTTGTGATTGGGACTTTGTTTCTACACATTGCATGCTGTATACTCCCTTCTTCGGTGCTCTGGTCCATGTCTCAAAGAACTGTAGTGTTATATATAGCGCTTCCACTGTGTAGTCATGTATCTCGCTGTTTTTTTAAGCAAAATCTTTCTTTTTTTCATTTTTATATAACTTTAATAAAAACAGCACCTTTAACAATAGGAAACATGTGTGAGAAAGAGTTGAATCTGTCATACTATTATTAT